GTTGCGCTGTGGGCTCCGGGGCGGGCGGGGCCGCCCAGCTGCAGCCAGCACCTCCCAGGCCGGCCATCGGGAACCGACTACAAATCCCAGGGTGCGGGGCTGCAACCGGGGAGGGACTCTCGGGCCGCCCCGGCGCGCACGGGGGCGGGGACCGGCAAAACGAGACCATTTCCCGGCAGAGACGCCGGTGCCGCTGCCTGGCTCCGGCGGGAAGTTCCGGGGCGGCTGAGCGGAAAGCCCTGCCAGCCGTGCCAGATTCCTGGAGCACCTCGAGGCTCCCGGCCGGCCCCCGATGCGAGTTGTTGTTTATGCCGCGAGCACTCACTCCCTCCCGCGCGCCTCCTCCTCCGCCCCACCTGCTCCTCCCTCGTGTTGTAACATGCCACTAGTGAGCCTGCGACCACAGCGCCCAGGGTGCTAGCGTTCGCACTCAGCCACCATGGGGAATGGGATGAACAAGGTAACGTGTCTCTCCGTCCTTCGTGCTGGTTTTGCCTTGACTTTAGAGCCTCCCTTGATGGCCTCCGCGCCCCGGCGTTGCAGCGGGCGCTGCGCACCTGCCGCCCGGGTTTCGGCTTCCACCGCGACCTCAGCGTCGGCTGCACGTCCCCGCGGGTGCAGAGGCGCGGCGGGGAGGGCCGAGCTCGCGATGCGTGCGTTTTTGAGGTGTTCCCTCACCCTCCCCAACCCCCCCCGTTGGCTTCCGGGTAAGCAGCCCCCCACATCTCCTGCCTTGCCAGCCTGCGCCTTTTGTGGCTGAAACAAGCCGTGCCCTTTAAAAAAGCGTTGACACTTGTTCTGCCGAGATCTCTGCGGAGCCCAGCAAGGACGAGTTTCTTCTTTTGCTCTCCTCCCTCCCCGTCACTCCCAAACGAGGCACTCGAGGCATCACCACCCACATCATTCGTAAACTGGCTTAGATTGGTGTCTTCTGTAATTTCCTCTTTCTCCCCAGATGTGTGTGTGTGTGTGTGTGTGTGTGTGTGTGTGTGAACGGGGAAGTTTCGTTGTGGGCAGAGAAGTTGACAGAGGTCTCATTCCTGAGCTGTTTGTTAAGTAAGTTGGGTTGAGAGACCAAGGTTTAGAGTTCATTTCTCTGGTCTTTTGTGGCTTCTGCTATGAAGGCAACCTGTTGATTTGTGGAGTGCACCTTCTAGAAAGTCTGTGGCTCTCTTTGTCCCTGCTCTGCACCCCCCTCCAGTTTCCCCACTCCACCCCCATCCCATAGGCAGCATCTTTCCTATCAATGGGCAGTTGTGAGTGGTCTGGCGTGTATTTCACTCAACCACGAGGTTAGAATTTTGGTGATTTGGTACCTGCTGGTTTAAAGGACAGACTTAGGAGATTTTAAAAAGCCCCCAACCAAAAAAAACACCTCTTTATAAAAGTGTTTTTTTTTTAGATGGTCCTGTGTCAGATTAGCTTCTGGCCCTCCACTGGATTCCATCCAGGCTCGTTCAACCATGGTCTACCAGTGTGGCTCTCCTTGTTTTAATTCGTTTTTTTTTATATTTTATTTTCCTTGTTTTTCTCTCCTGCCACCTGCTTTCCTTCCTTCCTGTTTGTCTCAGCACTTGCGTAAGCAGTGGTTTGGAGGACTAGAAGTAGATATTCAAAGTAGGAGAGGAAAAACAGTGGAGAATCCTGTGTTGTTACTCAACTCTTTACCCTGCCCA